ACCTTTTCTGCGTCTCACAAAGACACGGCGTTTGGAACCAAAGATCTCAAATTTGGACTCATCAGACCAAAGCACAGATTTCCACTGGTCTAATGTCCATTCCTTGTGTTTCTTGGCCCAAACAAATCTCTTCTGCTTGTTGCCTCTCCTTAGCAGTGGTTTCCTAGCAGCTATTTGACCATGAAGGCCTGATTTGCGCAGTCTCCTCTTAACAGTTGTTCTAGAGATGGGTCTGCTGCTAGAACTCTGTGTGGCATTCATCTGGTCTCTGATCTGAGCTGCTGTTAACTTGCCATTTCTGAGGCTGGTGACTCGGATGAACTTATCCTCAGAAGCAGAGGTGACTCTTGGTCTTCCTTTCCTGGGTCGGTCCTCATGTGTGCCAGTTTGGTTGTAGCGCTTGATGGTTTTTGCGACTCCACTTGGGGACACATTTAAAGTTTTTGCAATTTTCCGGACTGACTGACCTTCATTTCTTAAAGTAATGATGGCCACTCGTTTTTCTTTAGTTAGCTGATTGGTTCTTGCCATAATATGAATTTTAACAGTTGTCCAATAGGGCTGTCGGCTGTGTATTAACCTGACTTCTGCACAACACAACTGATGGTCCCAACCCCATTGATAAAGCAAGAAATTCCACTAATTAACCCTGATAAGGCACACCTGTGAAGTGGAAACCATTTCAGGTGACTACCTCTTGAAGCTCATGGAGAGAATGCCAAGAGTGTGCAAAGCAGTAATCAGAGCAAAGGGTGGCTATTTTGAAGAAACTAGAATATAAAACATGTTTTCAGTTATTTCACCTTTTTTTGTTAAGTACATAACTCCACATGTGTTCATTCATAGTTTTGATGCCTTCAGTGAGAATCTACAATGTAAATAGTCATGAAAATAAAGAAAACGCATTGAATGAGAAGGTGTGTCCAAACTTTTGGCCTGTACTGTATATATAAAAGAACAATGGCCGTTTATATATATATATATATATATATATATATATATGTGTGTGTGTGTGTGTGTATATACTCAATTTTTGTTAGTTTCTACGAAAAGAAAAAAGCAGACAAAACCAATAACATCATAGGTAAATGTGAAATGCCCAACATCCAGCAAAACAGAAAATAAGAAGAAGCAAGGTGACACTGTAGTACCACTGACAACAGGTCCTTTAAGATCACAAAGGTCCTTATGATCCTTAATTTTGATTCCTGGAATCCAGGGTGGAAATCGTCCACTCATGTATGAGCTATCATCCATCTTGTATGTCTAAATACTAAGGGGATAAAACAAAATTCACCAAACAAAATAAACGCACAAATAAACAAGATTTCCATGTTTTCCAATATTCTTCACATTTTTAAGCTGCATGTCTCAGGGAAAAAGTCAGCTGTTCCATAACATAAATGTCCTTAACTATTTCTATCCATTCAGAGGTTGTTGGAGACTCTTTACTCAACCATTTCCTCTTTATTGCTTTTTTAAAACCTGCTAGAAGTATTTGTGATAAATATCTGTCCTGCTTTGTTGGCCCAGTTGGCATATTTCCCAAATACATTACACTGAAGTTAAAATCCAGCTCTAAACTCCTCATTGATCTGACCTCTGTAACCACATCTACCCAGGAACTCCCCACCTGTGAGGTAAGCAAAAATCAGCCGGATGACATGAAACCAAAGACTGTATAAAAAGCATGAAGCACGTCAGGGATGAGGAATTTCATGTCATCCAGCGGATTTTGTCTGGTGAATGGGGCGGGGAGCCCCGGGAGCTGGCGTCACAGGGGGAAGCCAAACAGTGTTCATCTGCACACATTTTCCCACACTGCAGTGACACAGACCTGGTTAAAAATTGTCCAAATATGCCTTTAAGATAACATTCATTGATCCCACAAATGGAAATTGATACATAGTAGATATTCTATATAGATATATAGTATGAATGGGCAACTTAGAAAACTAGAAGATTATTGCAATGATGATTGTCTACTATAAAACGAACTAAAATTGGCAAAGTATCCCTTTAAGACTCTTTCTAACCTTTCCAAATAAAGGAAGAATAAAAGAGACCTTTTACCCACATACAAGGTATTCTTTATTTTTTGGAAATCATTTCTTCTTGGCAGGCTGGCTTACCAAAAACTTTTACGCCTTCCCAGTCATGACCGGCATTCAGCTGTTTCTCTGTCTGCCATTACTGCAAAACTGCCAAGGGCCAAATTACCTCCAAAAATGTAACACAAGACTGAACTGAAAATAATACCAAGATTCTCGTCACCATAGTTTGGAAAACATATGTGCGCGCAACAAAAGGAAGTGAGCTATTACAACCACAGACTCGTGGCAGCCAGATTTTAGTGACAGAATGATCCTGACCTCATGTAGCTTTGTTGAAAATCTTCCTCTGTTTTCATACGGATACAATGCTGACACACAGTCACACTGTCTCTGTCACTCTCGTACGCAGCGCAAACCATTGCGTGTCACCATGTGCAGTTGCTTAAGATACCCAACCTAAGTCTGTCATTATATTGTCATACATGGAGCATTACATCACCAGTCTGTCACTCTCAGTCGATTTGTGGAGACAGCCGAATGGCGTTCCTCTAGAATAGCACCATTACACAAGGTCGTCATCATAAGCCAATCACTGGAACTGCCTCCCCACTTCAATCGGCCTATCTGTGGCCTGTGATGTGGAGTGGTCACATCAGCCACCACTCTGTCCTCTTCCTGTCTGGAAAACAACACAGCGCGCTGACTGTTGCTCTCATTGATAAAGCGAGGGGGTAAGAAGGAGAGAATGAGAGATTTGTCAGCTGTGCCTGTTTGTGCACGTATGCCTCTTTCTAAGCCGTGATTTCCTGTTTGGATTGTTTACTACAGTACTTTCCTTATTGAGTTTAAAGCTCATTCAGTTTCCTCATCCCTCAATCTTCTTACCTCAAATCATGAGAGGAGGCAGGTGACTGCGGCCTTGTTTAGGCCTGCGTGGGCTGCGGTCTGAGGCTAGGGCTGCAACAATTTATTAAAGTTTTCAGCTATTGAATTAACAGCCAACTGATCTGATAATTGATTATTGGTTTGAGTAATTCTTAAAGAAAAGTTAGTAGTTTCTTTACTCATCTGTTACAATAAACTGAATATCTTTGGGGTTGTGGACAAAACAAGACATTTGAGGACGTCATATTGACCTTTGAGAGACAGTAATAAACATTTTACACCATTTTCTGACAATTTAGAGACTAAACAACTGATTAATTAATTGAGAAAATAACCGACAGATTAATCGACAATTAAAATAATGGTTAGCTGCAGCCCTCTTCGAGGTATAGCTGGATTGACGAAAAATTAATAAGCAACTATTTTGCTAATTAATTAAACATTTCCCTTAAAGATTTAAATAAAAATGTTTAAATAAAGGTCAAATGAATGGAAAAAATATATTAAGATTTGTTGTTTTTCATAGTCAGTGTGATAGTAAAGTGAATATCTTTGGGTTTTGGACAGTTTTTCGGAAAAAAAGAAGGTTGGAGATGTTGACTTTGGCTGTAGGAAACTAGGATCTGTCCTTTTGTTGACTAAAATGCATCAATTGATTTTTGAAATTCGTTTTAGATTAAGTAGTAATGAAAATAGTCATTAAATCATAGTTTACAAATTTAAAAATGTAGAATCATTAGTTGCAGCTCTTGTCCAATCCCGCCTTGAGTGTCTGTTTTTCTTTGCCTACTTCACAATTTTTCCATCTTTAAAGATATTCCCAGGAATGGCAATTGATGGGATTTTTGTGACACCAGTGCCATTATTGATTCTGCTTATCGGTTTGATTCTTTATTGATTCTCTTACTGATTTCTGATCACCTTTCTGTGTGGAAAATAGTAGGCCTACACAGGTTTTCAGTGTCAACCTTCATCATCTAAAACTGATGAACAGCAATTGCTTTCATTTAGTTTTTATAGTCAAAGAAGAAATCAGCTGAGCCTGCCTGTGTGGCACTAATGTTATTATAACAGGATATTTACCCTCTCTAAGGGACGTGGTGCTCGGTTAGTAAGCACTGTGTCAAATAGTGAAGTAATAATAATAATAGCACATTCCTGGCGTTTCCACCCTGACTCAAAATTACAAGCAGCACTGTTGTCATCTTTCTTCGTGAAACTGAGGCCAAGCTTTGGATCATTCCCTCCTCTCTGCCATGACTCTTTCTAGTTGTACGTTTCCAGCAGCGTAGAGGCATGAGTTTGATGTCATTGTTTTGCAATGCGCAACTTTTAAAAAAACATGTCGGCATTGATTAAAGGTATAGCTAAGCTCGGAGGCACACGATGCTGATGAATCAGGCAATTTGGAACCTGTTTTTAACTAGAACCAGTTCCCGAGTCCCTTTCCTACGTATTCATTGAGTTTTATGCTGTATTTGTCTTTGATAATAATTTTTTTTCTGCCTTTATTGTGCAGGTTAAAAGCACTAAGCAGTAGAAATCAGTGAATGTGACTGAGTCAGACTCTGCATTTGTTTAACAGAGTTTTTTTCTGACTGCAGATAAAGATCAGTGAGAGAAATCACAGCGTATGTGCTGACCTGAAAATAATACATTAACACCTTTTCCCTAAAATTGAGCGATTTGCTCCATCTAGTGGCGCCTTTATGAAACTTCAACCTGCAGAACCTGTGACTACAGATGGCTTACTGAATGGGTCTAGGGGCCCAAAGTGTCAAGGGAATGTCACCCAAATTAAAGCGCACCACAAAGACACTCATAAAGACCACAAAGAGATGCAAAGAGACACAAAACAGCTACAAAAAAGGGCAAAACAACCACAAAGTCTGTGTGTCTTTCTCCTGTGTAGGAGAAGTGGGGGGCCTCTCTGTGCCTAGGTGCCCATTGTCTCATAATCCATGTATCCCTGTAATATATTTAAATGTAATAGTAAATGTACTGCATCAGTGTGCTGTTTCTGAGCATGATTTGGTCTCTCTCTGGTTTCTCTGCTTTCAGGATGATGATCCCTCTGTTTGATGATGACACTGGTCTGCTCGCACTGGCCGGCATGGTGAGATAGATTTTTATTAGTGTTATCTGTCAGGAGGAAACTTTGAGGAAGAGTTTTTGGCTGAAAAGTTTAATGTCATGTACTTTAAAGGTCAACGGTCATTAGTACCATAAGTATTTAACTTCTGTGCTGATGATCTTGTTCAGACAGGTGATAAACTGTCTCTGATTCACTACACTGTATGACTGAATGATGCTCTCTCTCACACAGGGAGACACCGTGATCGATTGCTTCGAAGTGTCCAACTCTGAGCCGTTCCTCACGCAAGGTAAAGTCATCCTTTAATTGTCTGGTCAGATTATTACATCTCTCCCTCCTAGTATCTGATCCTTTTCTTTGTTTTTCTTTTCTCTACATTTTACCTCCATAGTGAGCCACTGTCTGACGGACTTCTCAACACGAGGAGTCGCCATGGTACCCAAGCATGTGTTGGATGTCATGTCCTGCGAAGTGATGCGCGTGCTTCAGCTGACAGACAGCTGCATTGTGCCGATCAGCTATCAAGTCCCTCGCAAGGTGTGTATGCGCACAGACACTGCTGGGACTCCAACATGTACAGCAGATTCATCTAGAGCTGGGTATGAATCAAAGTACTGATACCTTGACCTTGACTTTGATACCGGTTCCTGAACAGTACTTTTTTCTATCTGCGTTTACACATTGCTCACAGTAGTTAGCAGCTTAACATGGTGTTTTTTAGATGAAAATTTGGTGCCAATTGACAAAGCATTTTTCAATACTCGATAGTATCAAAGCAATTTGGTCTGTGCCTTTAACTGCTGAAGTTCAGCACCCAGTCCTAGGTTCATAACCTCTGCAGCTAATGTACATCTCTGCACTGGTATTGCATGTTTTCCAGCAATCAGGCAGCGAGTTCCATGATGATCTTTACCCAGATACAGTGGGCACAACTCCAGCCATGTCTGCTGAGGAGTGGTGGAACGGAGGGAACAAGCAGGTAAAGGATGTCTACTCTCAGTAAGTTTATCTGTCCTTCACACTGTAGGGATGCCTCACACTATCAGCTCTGTGTCCTCAGGTGGAGAAAGTCAGCCTCCACCCAGACAAACAGCCCAAACCAAAGGCTCCAGCTGCAAAGCAGACACCTGCTAAGAAGGAGCTGACCAGTGGGGGGAGCAAGGAGGTAGAAAATGTTTTAGTATGACTTGGTGTTGCATCTGACCATTAAGATTACACTGGCTATCCATTAGAAGTAATTGTACAAGTGGATATTCTTGGTGCAATCCTAAATGTGGTGTAGTTGAAACTTTTAACATCCAGCCACTGTTCTACAGGATCCAGCACGTGGCTGCTCCACCTCCAGTAGTCCTCTGACCACTCCCAGCAGCAGCGCTGCCCCGTCCCGCTCTCCCTCCTCCACCTCTGGCCTCTCCTCGGGCTTCCTCCCAAGCCCCAGTCCCAGCCAGAGCGCCAAGGCCATCCAGAACATGCTGGGTATACACACAGCACACACACTCACACACACTTGAAATCTCTCATTCTGCATTATGGTGTTGTTTAGCGTCAAAGCTGTTGATTTAGGATTATCTCTGATTCAGGGCCGACCTCCAAGTTCCGTCACATCCAGGGCGCAGTGATGCACCGGGACACACACATCACCAACCTGAAGGGCCTCAACCTGACTACGCCAGGTGAGAGCGACGGCTTCTGTGTCAACCGCGAACGAGTGGCAGTGCCTCTGTCCATCTCTGGGGGCCAGATCGCCGTCTTTGAGGTAAGGCAGCTGCTCGGGATTAAATTAAAAACTGTTGTCGGCCTAATGTTGAGGGTTTCTTTTTTCCCTTGTACTTAAATACTTTAGAAATCAGACTCTAGTGTACTGTACATGAGTGCGTGACTGATTGTATTCCCCTCCTCAGCGCTCTCAGCCTGGCAGGCTTCCAGACACAGCCCTGCCCACCATCCAAAACTCTGTCAATGTGGTCGACTTCTCTTGGGACCCCTTTGACACACACCGGCTTGCTGTGGGTGAGTGAATACATGTGCTGTGTCAGCGTGAGAATCTGTAGCTGTATGTTGTGCCGTCTGTGTGTGCTGATATGTGCAGGAGTGTGATTTGACATGCCGTCTCTCTGTCTGTGCTAGCTGGTGATGATGCAAAGATCCGGGTGTGGCAGGTGCCAAAGGGAGGGCTGACAGAGACCCTGACTGAGCCTGAGTTCATCTTGCAAGGTACGATTCCACCCTCAGTTTAGTTTAGAAAAAGGTTTTTGACTGACAAGCCTGGCACACACAACAGGAGAAGTTAAAGTTAACTGACAGCTGCTGTGACCCCTCGTAGGCCACACGGAGAAGATTTACTCGATCAAGTTCCACCCTCTGGCCAGCGGACTCCTGGTGTCTTCATCCTACGATCTCACAGTCAGACTATGGAACCTGGAGAGCGAAGAACAGGTCAAAATCCTTACCGGACATCAGGAACAGGTGGGTGACCAAGATATAGACTGTTTGCACAGCACTTTGGACATTTGGATATGTTTGGTTAAACATACTGGTGTTAACGAAGCAAACTGTCCATTTTACAAGTCTCTTCTTCTTCGTCTTTCTTGTCTCTTGTTGTGGATTGTATTCAGATCTTTGGCATGGCCTGGAGCCCAGATGGTAAGCTCTTGGCCACAGTGTGCAAAGACGGGAAAGTTCGCATCTATGATCCCCGCAAGTCCACTGTACCTGTGCAGGTATGTACAGCACACTGGGAAATATGGGAAGATGCAATTAAAAAAAGATGAGCTTTGTCTTTTTATTTTGACACTTAGATTTCATTAGGTCCTTTTTGTCAAAAGCAATATTACAGAACATCAAGAACATTGCCAGGAATTATGACATTCATCATATCCAGATAGTAGACATACTCTGTTATGGGTCATAGGCTGGGGGTCCAAACAGGGTCCTCCAAATATATCATCCATTTTGTACATCTTGCAATGTAAAAAGAAAGTCTTCGTTGGAAAGTCTGTCTTTCCAGCTTTGCACACCTAGTCTGTGTCAATAGTGTATTACTGTTTTGTAAAAGCAATAAGATGCCTGTGTGATAATACACAGTGAGTTTGAATATGTGAGAGGATTGTCAGACAGGAAGCAGTTCATTACAGTGTTGTTTGATCAGTTAAATAAGTTTCTTTTTGTTTCATTGACACATTAAATCTTCAATTACATATCTTACTTTTTTTTTAGGAGGGTCCAGGTCCTGAGGGCCACAGGGGAGCTCGTGTGGTGTGGGTGTGTGAGGGCAAGTACCTGCTGGTGTCAGGATTTGACAGGTACTGAGCATGGGAAAGATTTTTTTTCTCAAAGTGTCATAAAGTAGGAGAAAAATGTATGTATAGAAATATATATGTAACATACACAGATCAGCCAGAACATTAAAACCACTGACAGATGACATGAACAATACTGACCATGTCGTTACAACGCCATGCTCTGCTGGGAAACCTCTGGTCCTGGCATTCATGTGGATGCCACTTGAAGCACTTCACTTATCCAAAGACCGCTGCTGACCAAGTTCCCCCCCCCCATAGAAATGGCCCGAGGAACATGGCAAAGCGTGCAAGGCATCAACCTGGCCTCCAAATTCCCCTGATTCCAATCTGATCGAGCATCCGCGGGATGTGCCAGTACCCAACCGACAGGTCTCAAAGGATCCACCACCAACCCCCAGGTGCCAGACTCCAAAGCACAGCCCCAGAGGTCCCATGTCCATGCCTCGACATGTCAGAGCCGAGTCCGATTCAAAAAGGCCCCACTGTGGATCAGGGGTACCTCTGGGGTACTGGCATGGCCCACGAATACTCAATCAGATTGGGATCTGGGGAATTTGGAGGCCAGGTCGATGTGTTGAGCTCTGTGTCAAGTGGTATCCACATGAATGCCAGTAGCCAAAAGTTTCTCAGCAGAACAAACCACTGCTTTTATATATGGCCTCTACAGTGTTATCAGAGCAGCAGCGGGTCAGTCAAAAGAAAAGTTCACAGCTGACTCTTTCTTGTCGTCCTTCTGCAGTCGCAGTGAGAGAGGACTCTACCTGTACTCTGCTGACTCCCTGTCCTCTGGAACCGTAGCCACCGCCTCTATAGACATCTCCCCCTCTACTCTCATTCCTTTCTACGACCCTGACACCAGTGTGGTCATCCTCTCTGCAAAAGTGAGCAAATTAAAAATCAAACTATCGTTGCATATACGATACATTTGAAAATCAAAACTGAGAACAATGTAAGAATTAGATGAAACCTGCGTGTTTAATTTGTGTTCCAGGGTGATACCAGAGCCCATGTTTATGAGGTTTGCCCTGAAGATCCGTATTTTGTTGAGTGCAGCAGCTTTAACACCTCTGAGCCTCATAAGGTAGTGAGCTGACAGCTTCTGTTGTCGTATTTTAATTGATGTGTCACTAAAGCCTGTGACATGTTTGTGATGCTGTATGTGCTTTTATTTGCTAAACTCAGACACTTCCTGATTGTTTCCTGTCCGCAGGGCTTCGCCTTTCTGCCCAAGACAGAGTGCAACGTGCGGGATGTGGAGATAGCAGTGGGAGTAATGCTCACCAAGACAACCATAGAGCCAGTGGCCTTCAGAGTGCCACGGGTCAAGGTGAGCCAACTGCACCACCCAGTGGACTTCATGTGCATGCTTTCCTTCCTGCTGGTTATTTCTAGGAAACTAGTGCATAGCCTGTTCAATCATGCCTGTTGAGAATGGCTGATTGATCTGCCTGTGGTACAGCTGTTGCAGCTTTCTCGAGAAATGCACATAGGACCAACATCACTCTCGACAGTGTGCTTCTTTGGGTCCCAAACAGGCTTTGACGTAACAAAGCAGATCCCTGAAGCTCCGCCCCGGCTGCTGCACTGAAGCACAGAGTTAGTTTGTTCACTCAAAGTTTACTTATACTGAATGTGTGGCGTCTCCAAATCACCCCAATTTAGACAATGCACGTCCTTGGGTCCCCGGTAATACACCCGCCAAGTGTCAAGTAGATCGGACGAACGGTTCTCCAATCAGACAGAGATTCTTTGCTCTGTAGTGAGAAGGTTGTTGCTTTAACTGTGTAAGGTATTAATAACTCTATGTGTAACTCTGTGTCTGCAGAAAGAGTTTTTCCAGGACGATGTGTACACAGACACCGCAGTCTGGTGGGAACCGGCACTGACTGCCTCTGCCTGGCTGTCTGGCTCCAACGGCCAGCACAAAAAGATCAGCCTGAAACCTAAAGACATGACGCCAGGTGTGGACACAGACATTATGAATACACACCATGTGACTTTGCCTGACACAGCTCTCGCTCCAGATGATGATGATAACTTCTACAATCCACATGCCAGTGTTTGATATGACCTTGTATGTGTTTGTTTGTGATGCTTTAACTCTTAGTGAGCGAGGCCCCCAAAGAGGCTCCAGTCAGGAAATACCTGCCCTCATCTGTTTACCTGGAGGAGAAGACTGATGAACAGAAGAAAGAGGAGGTGAGGATGAGCTGCATCGTGTGTGTCGGCCATCTTTTGTACATAAATTCACTTCAGAGTCATCATGTACATGTTACTTAAGAAAAGTTGCCGTGTTTATGTACTGAGTATGTGTATGTACATCCCAGCTGCTCAGTGCCATGGTGGCTAAGTTGGGGAACATGGACGACCCGCTGCCACAGGAGTCCTTCGAGGGGGTCGACGAGGACGAGTGGGTGAGTGAATGTGATGGAAACAGCTGTGAAGTCTCGACTCTAATGACACTGTGTTCATGATTTAAGCTGCACACTCTGCCTCCACTGTACCAGTTACATACAGTAGAATATGATGAACATGCATGCAATCGCACCAATCGGCTCAGGGTTCAAAGGTTTAAATACTCGTGAAAGGCGTCTGAAAGCGGCACAAGACAAGTGATGTCGCTTCAGGTTTTAACGTGTTAAGTCAACGCAAATTTATTCCATGTCTCTAATCCATCTTTGCTAACTGTGCCTGTTGTGTCGTCCAGGATGACTAGAGGAGACGCCATCTTGCCTTCGGTTCAATTATGGTGCCAACAGCCGAGAGGAGAGAACAGATCAACTGTCAAGTCATGTTGCCATTTGCGCGTGCGATGGTGCCACCCACACGTCCTCTGAGCTCAATCAGCTAACATCTCAGCGCACAAACAACACTGTACAATGTGAAAGTATAAATGACATGCGAAAAAAAAATCACCATAACTATAACACCCTCTGAGATTAGTATGTATCACAATAACTGTTAAGGTTTGGAAAATCAAATGTCATGTTGTCTAGTTTGGTGTTCGTCGTATTCGACTGCATGAAATTTGATATGAAAATCATTTTCAGCTGTAATCCTTAAATATTACAGAGGTCATTCTGGGATAAATCTGACATTGTAATTGCTTTGTTTGTCACAAAATTGTCTCACTATACATGATGTTATAAAAGAAATCCCACAGCACAAGATGACACAACAGTAAATGTCAGAAAATAGTCCATTGGAATCTTATATCAGGACACCTCAAGCATGTTTCCTGTAAACCACAGATCTAAGTCAGTGCAAGGTGAATTAAACAGCAGGTGATCATGGCAATAATACCTCTGCGTCATGCTACAGTACCAGATGTAAAAGATGGATTTTATAGATTAGTATTTCGCATAGCTTCTCTTTTTGGTAGTGGTATATGGCTGTGGTTTAAAGGTTCAGTTTGTAGGATTTAGGGGGCTATATTGGCAGAAATTCTTTTTTTCTTTAGTGTATAATCACCTGAAAATAAGAATCGTCGTGTTTTTGTTACCTTAGAATGAGACGTTTATATCTACACTGGGAGCGGGACCTCGTCTACTGAGATCGCCATGTTGCACCACCATTTTTGTACAGTAGTCCAGAGTGGACAAACGAAACACTGGCTCTAGATAGGGTCATTTGTGTTTTGGCATCGGCCACCACAGTTAACAGCCACTCAGCCATGAGCCAAACATTGCTGGAAAAACACTGATTTTTAACGTGAAACTGCTTTATTCAGTGTTTTTACCCTTTCAAATCACCGGGTCTGTTTGTCTGGGAGAGGAAGAAACCTCTGCGGATTATTCGGCTACTGATAAAACCCTCCTGAATGTCTGAATCTCTAGTTATCAGAGATAAAAGGTGAACAAATACAAACAGGTGCTGGGCTAGCAGTCTGTCTCTGACATGCCATACAGCGTTGGAGAAACACTGATTTGTAACATGAAACTGCTTTATATTCAGTGTTTTTACCAGTTTGAATCACCTGGGGTCTCATTTATAAACATTGCGTGCGCACAAAACGAGGCCTGAAAAAGGCGTTCGCCAATTCCCACGCAAAAATTGGGATGTATAAAAACAAACTGGAGACAGGACATTGGCAACCCAGATAATGAGGTGGAAGCCTGATTTCTGGAGCCCTGGAAATTGTCGAATATTTTTTGCCGCATGCCATTTTTGGCTTTTGTCCGCACGTACATTTTAAGTATGGATGCTACACTTTGTTTTATAAATGAGACCTCAGGTTCATTTGTTGTGGAGAGGAAGAGTCCTCTGTGGATTATTTGGCTCTGTTAAAAACCTCCTGAGCACAGAACGCTGAAGGGATTCTAATCGACATAAATTTTATCTAGTTGCAATGTGCAGTCTTCACCACTAGATGCCGCCAAACCCCCCCTTAAATCTCACACACTGTACCTTTAAGCATGATAATATACTCTGAGGTGTCCTGATATAAAGCGCAATGGCCTCCTCTTGTGCCCAGTCTGTTGTTTCCTGATATCAACACACCAGGTTGTGTATCGTTGCATACAAAGTTGTTATCTGTGTGTGCACAATTACCTCCGCTGTGGACCACTGCTTGCTTTTCCTACCGGCCAGTCACATGAGCACACTCAGTCACAATGTGTCTTCTGAAAGATGTAATGTTGTTGATCATGCATCTGATTTAAAACAAAAAAACAACAGTCTTCCTGTTTGATCAGGTGAAACACACACACACACACACACACACACACATACACATACACAATTACTGTAACATGCTCAAGCCTTCAGCAGCAAAAACCACACTGAGGATACAACAGGGTCACCAGTGTTCATGTTTGGTCATGAACTGGAATTTCTTATGACGACGACAATGAGTTCACCTTTCCGTTGCCAATGATAGAGTGAAATGCCATTTAAAAAATAATGTGTAATGTGTGTATTTGTACAAGTTCTGATTGAATGTTTTGCTGTCTGGTAGTCTTATAATAGTCATATAAGTAGGGGTTAAAGGTCAGTCAAACTGGGACGTTGTTATGCATTGAAAGCCAAACCACCTCCTTACTGGAGTTTTTAGTAGGGGCCTTTGTATACTCTGAGATTTCCTTTCTTTCTTTTCTTGTTTGCTGGGCAACTTTTAATCATGATTGTTTTTGTTTTTCAGACTGTTCGGGGATATTCCTCACTTAAATGAGCTAATTTTCTTATCTAATGTTTACTAGTATTAAGTAATCATGGTGGTAGTTAGACAACGACAGGACAGTATTAATAAATTACAATGCAGCCATAAACAGGTATCGTGTAATTTCCAATCAGGGCTACAGCAATATCGTCACTAATCCAGGCTTGAACCCAGCGTTTGTTAACAACCTCTGATGGACTGAAGCAAAGCGTCGATTCAGCCATGCATGGTCGTGCACATCACGTTGTACAGGTGAACTGCAGGTGTCGTAGGTGTTTGTGTGTGATGTACACTGTATGTGCTTGTGATTTCTTCAACGCCATACTTTGTGACATTGGGATTGGATTACTTGCCTTCCATTGTGTTTAAATAAAATAAAGAAACTTCCTTTTTATACAGTGAGTAAAGCATTGTTGTTTTTTCATCTGTTGTACTTGAGGAATGGTTTGTGGATTTTTTTCAATATTGTCTTGCAATAAACACATTTTTGAACCCAACTTGTTCTATTGTGATGAAGTCACTATGAAAATTGCAGTGAATAGATATGTGGGGATGGCTTAAAAACCTTTGAGGCTGTAGTGGGCTGTAGCTGGAGTGATGACACCAGTGTCATATCATATATAAAACTAGACGAACTAAGGAATCCAGTGGTACCAACCATGTCATGCTAGCTTCTCAGGAAGGGGGCTAAACAAGTTAGGCTAAAATTTGATAAGGGAAAAACTGGCATTCACGGGTCCCTTGACCTCTGACCTCAAGATACCTGAATGAAAATGGGCACTGTGGGTACCTACGAGTCTCCCCTTTGCAAACATGCCCACTTTATGAAAGTCTAATGCAGTCTGGGGCTAAAAAAAAATACACTTCTTTGCATACAGTATAACTGTTATTTTTGCCTATTGGAATATTTCCACATGCTAAAGTCCCAAAACAGTCTTGGAATAAATCGGCTTTCACTGTAGTGAGACCATTCATTTGAAACTGTCAGCACTATATAAAATGACCTATAGTGACCTGTAGAATAATCACAGCCTCATAAAACTCTGAGCAGAAAAACAGAAACAAACTAGAGACCTCAGGCATTCAGAGGATGTATGGTTTTCACAGGTATATTGACAATAAGCGCGTTTCTCAGCACTTTCCTGAACAGAAGCGCTCGCCATCCAGTCGCGGAAAAGTGGAATTCTTACAGAAATCTCCAAATGTCAAATGTTTTTGATACCAAAAATACCACCGCGTGGATTTTTCTGTGGTGTCCCTTAAAGGACTTGGTGTCTAAACGTGTTTTGTTGGAGTGATTTCTGACCGTTATTATCAATTCTCGGATGTTTTTTTTTTTTTTTATTTTGCACCAAAACTGTATAACAAAATGGTATCAACCCAAAAATTACTGCAACAACTTATGAGACATAATTGAGCTGTCATATACTTCCACCATAATGTTCTAAGCCCCTACATACTCTAAACTTACAAAGTTTGAATAGACGCCTATGATCTTTGGGTTCACAGCTTTCAGATGAGGTATACTCATTACCTATACCACACACACGCATTATAGGTAGGACTCAGGGTTCAGTGATTTCTGAGGTTGCATGCATTAAGGTCAATTTGGTGGAGACAATGTGGGCAAAGAAGTGGCACAGAAAATAAGTGCATAAAATAAAATATACAAGGCACAACAACTTACATACATTAATATTTGGCTGAGTTATGCATACCATTATTTAGCCTATATTTATTCTATTAAATATATATTCTACCATAGCTTTAGGGTGTCTTTTTAACATCTGGGCAGTGACAACAGATGGAAATGAGTGTTCAGGCTACCTCTTGATTATTTATAGTTTTCCTGTTGATCACTAATCAGTAAACACAATTAAAGAAACAGGGAAGAAAGAGGTACGGGTGCAGGGTAAGCTTACCTTGGGTGCCAAAATGCGAGATATTTACTGTAGGGAGCCTATTCCAGCACTCACAACATTATTTATTGCAGAATAGCTGCCCTCATATATATTGGTCATCCATCTATCTTTAAATGCAATAAATTTTTTATTTTCTTCTCGTCTTGGTGACAGTTTTCAACATTTTTTAAGGCTAGTAGCAATGTATTTAAAAAAAGCCGCTGCAGTTTGACCTCCCCGCCACTAGGTGTCAGTATCAATAATGTTGCTGTCTACCTGATTTGTCTTGTATTCTGTGACGTCGCCGCTTCCTTGAACTTTAACCCTAAAATAACCTTCATTAGTGTACATGGTGTACATGTGTGATAACAGAAGCTGCACACTGTCCGAAGGACCTGTATAATATTATAAAATGGTAAGAATACATTTTATAGTGTTGACATCCCCTTAGCTAACGATAGCGAGTCAGCTAATGTTAGGTAGCATGCTAGGTAGCGTTAGCATGAGACGTTGTGTAGCTGCAGCTGTGTGTGTTTGTCGCAGTTTGGTTTTCCGAGACAGTTACATAAGGTAGCTGCCTCCTCCTCACTGGGACATTATTAATTTGATTAAGGGAGGAACTTATGTGTCAAAATGTAGGTTAAGTCGTGTCCAAGCAGGACGGAGGCACATATAAAGACACTGTCAGAGCTCACAGCTGTGATGATTGTCTCCTACATCCGCACCAGCAGACACTTCTCACCTCATCATGACATCAGCTTAACTGTTGCTGAACTCGCCCTTTAATGTCACTTGCAAATATGAGAACTACTGACTGACCCTCGCTCTCTTGTGGTTCCCATGATTGTCAGTGTGAAAGCACACCTCTGCCAACTGCTTTGTGTTATTAATGTTTGCACACATGTGTTCATTTCCTCTGCAGGCTAGATATCTTGCACAGATCATTGTGATGGGAGCACAGGTGGTGGGACGTGCGTTTGCGCGTGCTTTACAGCAAGAATTTGCAGGTATGATCCATATAGTGTACACTTAATAGTACTGTACTTAATAATTGATAAAGTAAAAATGTAAAATTAATGCTGAGACTATATGATTGTTCATCATTCAGACACTAGTTTTGTTAATTGTTGTTTTTATTTGTAGACAAACCCTGATTCAGTTCAACTGTGATGGACATTTTTCAGTATTTTCTAATGTTTTATCCACTAAATAAGTTAATCAAAATAAGTAATTTTTTGTTGCAGCAAAGGCCGGGTGATATGGCTGAAGTCATGATCGTGTTTTTGATATAGTTATTGTCAGATTTAGATTCAGACAACATTATTAATCCCACCGGGGGCAATTTGAACATCTTGCCTTGCACACATATCAAAACATAACACACAGTAACATGAACACACATACCGGTAAAAAGAATAGTAAATAAAAAAACATAAATAAGCAATATGCCAAGGAGTTCAGTGGAATAATAAATAAATAATAAATGTTACTAGACTAATAGCTAATCTGTCAGAATCAGAAAAAGATTCATTACCAAGTATTTTTTTCCCCTAAAAGGAATATGCTTTGGTCTTTGGTGCATATGTATAACATATAAATAGGCAATAAAATAAAGGCAAAGTACTACAACAGTCAAAAACATCAATATGATTGGAGACCGTACAATAATGTGGAAAAGGTACTCAATAAGTGAATACTAATGTAACAAAACATAACCATTATGTACAATATAGCTGTTTAAGAATGAGAAAGCTTCACAGTTTTGTGCAGGATGTGCAAAAATATCTGTCAGCGCACATTATGATATGGTAAAGGTATTTAAAATCAGTCTCTTGTTACATAATCAAACTGATGTTCAGAGTAATTAACTGGGGTTCATTTTAATGTATGACATCAGACCAAATCCTTACTATGCTCGTCATAATACAACATCCTTCTCAGAACTCTAAGATCACATCATCCAGTAAATGAACCCTAGTTGCAGCTTTATGTAAAACATCTTTGCTTTTACATTCTTTTAGCTTGTCAAATGAGATGAACAGAAGTTGTGAGTATTTCTGTCGTGTTTTCTCTCACAGCCAGTCAAGCAGCAGCAAAGGCCAGGGGCCGCACAGGTCAGCAGTCTGCTGCAGCCTCTAGCATCACTGGGATGAGCCTGCAAGAGGCGCAGCAAATCCTCAATATCAGCACACTCACTCCTGAAGAGATTCAGAAGGTACAGACACACGCTTTGTCTCTTAGAGATTTCTGACTATCAAAGTGTTGCTATTGAGCTGCAGAGCCTGTAAGCCTTTTAATTATATAGTGTTTGTTAGTTCATCACAGATTTTCTAGCCATGACAAAATCTGTTTCTTAATAATGTCTTAAAAATGATTTTCCCAACTCTACTATTTGAGATGAAATACTCGCTCCCTGTAGACTTAAAAGGTGGCATGGTCATACAGTATAGTTACAATTAGTCATATCTTTAAAAAAAAATGCTGGAAAACCAACTACTTCTGTGTAACACCTGCAAAATTCAAATCCAAGAATTTGCAGCTAAGAGTTAATACCATGAACACAGAGTTTAACTTTCATGTAAATTGTTGGTTAAGGTTGTCACAATTGGTCAGAAGATGTCAAAGGAGCTGTGAGTGACATTCAGAGCATTAATATATCAGCAAACCACTATTTGCTATGTAAAGCTATAGTGGAGTAATGGCGTCCTGAGCAGAAAATGAAGTCACGCACCCTCTGTGTGAGTTGTCATCTGAGCTTCGCATGTATGTTAGTGCATGCGAGTCCCTGTGTATGGTTAACTAATTGCTACCGCTCTGCACTGGGGAGGAGGATATCACTGATAACACCTTCCCGACCTTTGGTGGCAGGATGTGTTGTTACAGAAGAGTAACGCCCACCCTACAGTCCCCCTCCTCCTGGTTAACACCCTTCGCTCTGTCAGCACTGTTGGTGCTGTTAATGCCGGTAGCTGCCAGCCACCGGCTGAGCAACCTCCATGCTGAGAGCTGTGCACAGGCAATCCTATCCCAGACTCTGAATGTCACACAGCTCCTGTAAATGAATCAAATGCTGTTACTTGAACACTAACTGTCTTCATCTCTTTCAGAACTACGAGCACCTTTTTAAAGTCAATGACAAGTCAGTGGGCGGGTCGTTTTACATACAGTCAAAAGTAAGTACTCTGTATCTTAGGATGGCAGATGATTCCCTTTGTTGTTGCTGAAGCAGTATTCAGTTACACTGTGGACAGTCAGAGCAACATGTCACATATCATTTAAATGTGTTTTAGCTCACCAAAACATAAAAACAGAATAAAAATATAGAAAATAAATATAATGCCATGAACAGGGTGTCCACAGGTCCTTAAAAAGTCTTAAAATGTCTTAAATTAAGTTTTCTTAATATAAGGCCTTAAGAAGTCTTAAATTGTATTAAATTCAGATTTGATGGGTCTTAAATATTTTCAGTCACATTACCGTGAAAATGTCTCCAGCCTGACAGACTCAGTGACTGTTTACAATCATTGGACAGACCCAAGATTTGCAATAACAAATAGCATTTATGATAGTGATGAGATTTTTTTTTTTCTTTTTGCTTCAGACAACTCATCCAATTGTCATTTTTCCTTACTGTTCATTTTAAACTGACATCAGTGTGTTTACTTGGAAAGAGTACTCAAACATGTGTCATATTCATATAAGGTGGTATTAAAAGGGTCTTAAAAGCCTTAAATTTAACTTCGTTATATCTGTGGACACCCTGATGAAACCATCAGACCAAATAATTTAAAACACAGCTTAAGAAATTAAAACATGAAATATAGTGTAGTACCTTTTGCATCTCTGTTTTTGGAGTGTAAAATGCTGATTGCACCCCAAAATAAATACTATTAGGCCTTAAAAGTCATTAAATAGTCTTACATTTGACTTTACTGAGGCCTTGAGTGCCACAAACATTTTATTTAATTTCATTTTTCCACCTTTTAATTTCTTTTTGTATAAATGAGTTAAATTTTCATGTGAAGGTCAACATTTCTGATATTACAAATCTTTGAACTTACCACTGACCCAATTCTGTCACTTTACTTGCACTTAATGTTACCTGTTGGCAAAATGTAGATCAACCCAGCTCACTTTAATGTCTGTATCCCTACATAAAAGCTACCTCTGCATGGGACTACATACTATAACTTAACCTGCAGTGCTTGAATCAGATAAAGATGATTTGTTTGAAAATTAATTTTGGTTAAAAAAATATTTTGAAAAGGTATTAAAAAGTATTAAATGCAATCTATAACCTGTAGACACCTGCTCCCAGAGTTCTGAGTCTCATACCGAGGACAGTGAAGGAGGAGAGCTGTCAGTCAGGATCAGTGTGGCCTGCTCATGTCCCTACAGGAAACATGTCATTGAGCTTTGTCAGCCGTTACCATGTCATTTTGCAGCTCCTGCCAGCTATTCTGACAAGTTAACTTCTGAGTCTGTAGTCCAGGTGACCGAACCATGATGTGAAGTTGAATGTTGGCATGTGGTCAGTGACTGACTCACACTGATGGTGCCTCATGAATTTCCAAATAACTTAAAGCCACTGTGTGCATTTCTTGAAAATACAGCTTAAGTATTATAAGTGTCAGTGTAGAGCTGTAACAAGATAAATAAAGCCACTGGAAACTTACAAAATTCACAATATCCTTAAAGCTGTGTAATTTAGGGTCTTGTGTACATAACAGTGAACATCTACTTGTTTGAAACAAAATTTGAAATATTGTCATTTAAGATTTTGTAAACTTCACTGACATTGGGTTGAGTCAGTTGTCCTGCTCAAACTGGTGCAGCCATGTTTGTTTGTGCCGTCCCTGCATGCACATCCACTGGTGAGATTTCAATAGGTCATTCTTTTATTTTTTATTTTGTTCTGCCCTGCCTAAGCAGTCTGGAGAAGTGGTCTAAACAGCAAAACGAGATTTTTTTAACTAGGTTTTCTAATAGTTACGTTTATTTTCACTCAGATTTTGGTGGATGTCAAATAAAACACTCAGCTTTTATATTCTGTTTTTAATATTTCAAGGTAAAGTCGGCAGTCATGATTGTCAAATTCCAAGAGCACTTTTTTTTGTAAAATACAGTGATCAGTATCTGGTATTGAATTTTAAATGATTACACATGTGAGTCTGTGTGTTTGTGTGTGAGGAATCCACCCTTTTAAATATGTCAAGTTTGAAATGATGTCACTGATTTTTATCCCTCACCCATTCCTTTCTGCTCTGAGTGAATTGTAATTTGCTTATTTTAAGCGTCTCGCTTTTTTCTCAGTCGTCATTATTTTTTTGTGTGTGTGTGTCCAGGTGGTGCGGGCTAAAGAGCGTCTAGACGAGGAATTAAGTATTCAGACACAACAACAAAAACCGCAGTCACAGCAGAACATGGAAACATGAAGTATGAACGGATGCTTGTCCTGTCTTTCCTCTCCCCATCCTCTGTAAATTATAACCCAATAAAAGCCTTCTCCTTTTCTCTAGTCTCTACTCTGTGGCATTTTGTGGGCAGTGGGTGTGATTTTAAGACATGGGAGCAGAAACAATGGTCAAAAATATGGGTGTATTGTTATTTTTTTTCCCCCAGATTAGCCATATGTTATGAGTTATGGTTTGCAGTGATGTAAATCCACACAGAGATGCCTTTTATGTAGCCACTGTGTATTTGAATAACTGAAATGCTGAATACAGTGAGTTAAACTGCTGTTCGTCAGGATAATGGGAGTGTTATTTATGTGAAGTGTGATGAAACATAAATGAACACACGTCGTATCAAATACAACTTTATTAAACATTTTTCTTTTCATTGACATTATTATCAATATCGTAATAAAATTCCTCTAAAACAGGAGAACACCGCTATGTTGTACCAATTGGAGACTTTTACAACTCTAAAATTCTGCATGTTCAACCACAGAACATGATGCCAGGAAAAAATATATTTTCATATAATCATTTTTTTTCATATAGTGTATAACTTCTATATTTTACCTATAATAAAAAGGCACTTGGAAAAATTAAAATACTGACATAATCTCACAAATGTGCAAAAAACATAACTTGGAACAGGCCTTGCTTGGCCTTAGTCTTATCATTAACCCTTTGTGCAACACTGTGGCACTTCAGTCAATGGCACCCCTTTATAATGACACTGACCGAGCTAGCTAACACAAATTTTCGTGCCCTGGATTTCAGTTCCACTTTTCATAGCAGTAAGTGAAGGTTACTTTTAAAATCTCCAGGAGCAAGTACCGCTTTTATACTGTCAAAAAAATAACATTTTAGCGACTGATAATGATTTTTACAATTATTCTCTGTTCCCAAAACAACTGATGAATAACGCTGTACACTGAGAACGGATGTGGCAGCATCCCCGTATCTACACACACTATGAGGGGAACAAAAGTGCAGTTTATTACAGACTGAGCTCAAAGGGTTAATGGATCATACAGCTTATTTGATATTGGAAAGATGTGGACCCTTGCGAGGATCCGTGTCATATTATTCAGCTTTCTGCCGCCGCGCTGAGTCTCTGTCCCTGGCTTCGACCTGCAGAGGAGAGACAGACAGACAGGGAGGAGGAGAGCCACCGCATCTGTGGGTTTCACTGTTGCCACGGAAACCGTGTCTAGCCTACTTAACACCTGTTTCTGATGACATCACATGCCAGGATTGTCCACTCACAACGAGAGATTCACTTCAATGCCCAGCCTGAACCCAGAGACAGGCCACTGGTGTGTGTGTGTGTGTGTGTGTGTGTGTGTGTGTGTGAGAATGTGTGTGTGTGGTTGGGGGGGAGGGGGTGTCTGTGATAACGATGACTAAGAATTATTGAGGCAGAAACACAGGTATGCAGTTCATCTCTGCTGTGAATCCTCGCAGGTCTGTGGGAGGCCCGCCACAGAGCTCGTCCTCAGACAGGGAGGGTTATATTTGTTTTTGTTTACTGTGTATGTGGCTCGTTAGTTTGCCTGTTTTTCCCATTTCTGCTAAAATGCTTTGTGGCCGGGAGGTGGGGGAGTTGAGCCTTTTGGATTTAATCTATTAAAAAAAAAAAAAGGAAAGAAAAAACCCAGAGGGCAGACAGAGTTCAGTGGCCTAGTTTTCTGCAGGCTGGTATGCCTGTGAGTGGCTGCCACATTGGGCACAGCACAGCCAGTGACTTCAGAGCTGAGAGGGCCGCTTGCTTGGGTAGGTGGCCAGATGGAGGGCGGCTGCACAGCACAGCTATCCTCTGCCTCTTTTCTTCTGCTGGCGCACAGCCTCGCTCCTCATCTCTCCCTTTCCCTTGTCCATTCATTCAGCCAATCCTGTCTCTCTTTGCTCTCATGCTTTCCCAGCGATGCCCGCCATTTCACAGTCAGATGTTATTTCTCTACGGTTTCCCTTTATTTGATGGTGGGAATTAAATGTTAGAACAGAGGAAGACGAGTTTGCAAATCTAATTTAGCCCCAAAGAGGCTCTTAATATAGACATTATTTTATGCCCACATCCTCTCTAATTGATCCCCAGTGGATCAGTGTGATTGTCATGGAGGAAACTGATGTCATTTGGTCCATTAGATAAATAGTTTTACATATTTCCCCCTTAAAGCAGTGGATTCCAACCTTTTTGGCCTGTGACCCCTTAAAGTAAAGCAACATCATATGAACTGATCACAGTTTATAGCCTCAGTTTGTTGTGAGCACTTTCTCTTTCTGTCATCGTTTCATTAGTCTCGCTCACCAGACCTTTCTCAAGAAAAGAAAGGTCTGGCTGGGCCGACTCTCACTGTGAGATTGGAGAAAAAAAACGCCCCGGCTGCTTGTACTTCTTTCAACCAATCACAATTGTTCTGGGCGGTGCCACAGCAACGGTGTGCTTGCAAAAATATTGCCGGGGGAAACAGGTTTTGGTGTAACACGCCCACAAAAATATCGCCTACAGGACGCAAACCATGGCAGAAAAATGGCTACATCCCCACAAGATCAAACACCGCAAAAGTTAGTAAAGGACGTGATGAAAACGGTTGAAAACTGCTACACAACCGGAGGTGGTAGGGCGGGACTTCAGCGGGTGGCTCGTTCCGCCCACTGAGAGGCTGATCTCTGCAGCGAACTTCCGCCCACTCAGACTATCGTTTCGCTGACCCTGAACAAGCGCCCATATTCAGTATTTTAGTTAGTAAGAATCAACAGGTGTAGGCTGTCCTTGGTCATAGCTGTGTATTGAGCTAAAGGCATGTTAGCATGCTAACATTTGCTAATGAGCACAAAGTACAGCTGAGGTTGATGGGAATGTTGTTCATACTGCAGGTATCTGGTCATACACCAAAGTCTTGGACAAACTGAATTTTTGACCTGATAATGGCGCTAGATGGAGAGTTAAGGTATCATCCAGAGGGGAACATGAAGGTTAACATCATGGTGGCACTATGAAAAGTCAGGGGATCCCCAAAGTCAGTAGGACTCGTCCTCTGGGAGACGTGTTTTTACAAAATATCACAGCAATCCACCCAATAGGAATTTCAATCTGGACCACCGAGACGGACCCATGATCCATTTAGCCACATTTTCTCAAAAGCAAAAATTGCTCGAGAACCGTCAACAAAATATAACATAATTTTGCGTAAATGAACCATTTTCTTCTTATATCAATGAGGTCATCATTTGACCTTTCAGATTTAGGGCATGGTCACACAGGAGCAAGATTAACATCGGTGAATTTTTGCCTCCTGATCACATCATTCAGTGTAAGTGAAGGGGCGAATGAAACATTAGCTTCCGGTAGCAAAGCAAATTCGCGTACTCAGATTGTCTGGAGTTCAATTTTGGTTAACGCTGACTGGCAAAGTTGCAGCCTCAACCCATAGCAAAGAAGAATGTGTGACGACATGCGTGTTGCTGTGTCTAAGCAGCCAATATTGTGTGATATTGGCCATGAAAAATACAAACAGCCTCACAAGAGAGAGAAGAGAAAATTTACCAGTTAGATCAAAGCAAGCTAGCTTTCCGTGAGTCATACCCACCCACACTGAGTACAAGTATCGCCTCTGCAGGCAATGGTCACTCGTGTGTGACCATACCCTAATCCCAATCCACTGCCCTAAAGCAATGGTTCACAACCAAGGGTCCAGGAACCCCCAGGGGTCCTTGAGGGGTTTCCCAGAAAAATGGGGAAGTTTGTTTTCACTATTTAATTCGTAAGAGTGGTAAGGGTGACCTTTGTGATCAGAAGTTTCATTTTCTCCACAGTTATCTGCTCAAATGTAGTTGAAACCGTAGCATTCTGGTCTTACCGAACAACCAAAATCTTTTAAGATGGTCCCTAAAAAGCCCCGATATATTTATTTATGGATACATATTGATTTTGAATATTGAAACGGTTTTACTACTTGTTTTCCACAGCACTGATACACCAGGACCAGCTGTTCTTTTGCTTTTTAAGATTTAAACTGTGTGCCTTCGATGTCAAATTTCTCAGAGGTATCGAAAATGCTGTTGAACATTCATATTTTTTAGGGTATTGTGTCGAAGTATTGTGACAACTCTAGTCCCTGAAGTAAAGTCTTATCAAACTGGGGTCCGTGACATGACCCCAAAAAGGCTGGGAACCACTGCTCCAAGAGAACCCCTCAAACCTCCTCCTCTTGACCTCTCCTCAACCCCTCAAATGACTCATCCTTGACAGCAGAAAGCTGAGCGCAGAGCAGCCGTCACAGAACACAAGAAGCAACTTCAACATCAGAAAAAAATGTCTCGTCTGAACAACAGCAAAAGAAAAAAATAATGACAACAATAAAAAAAAAAAAAAAAACAGCAATAACTGATTATTTCTAAGACTGGGCGATGGAAAAGTAAGACCACCAACATAAGCAGAGATGGAGGAGTGAGAAGAGAGAGAAGGTAGTGTGTGACAGTCTCTTGAGGGAATGTTCTTCGTGTTGTGATGATCCTCTCCTGCTCCTCTGCCTCTCCGCTGTGGAGACGGCAGTCAAACATCATACATGCGTTAGCACTGAGCGACACAAGCCTGGGAAGACCCCACAGCAAAATCAACCCTTGCAGGAAAAAAACAGAATAAGATCAAACTAGTTTTTAAAGAACCATCACTTGGCAGTAACATTTCATAAAACATGTAAGGAATATAGTGTGTGGTAAGTGCGTGTTGACTGCTTAATAGAACCATGAGAAAAGATTTCCCATATGTCAAATGAGTCTTTTTTTCTTTGCCCCTTTGGACAGAGTAAAATGAGGCAGTTTGCAATAGTGTGGCTTCCTAGTCAGTCCAGCTGTATGTGGCAGTGAGTGCATCACACCCCCCTCTGTGGCACAATACGTACATCCCTCTTTCCCCTCTCCAGGTATTTTTGGCACGGCATGGGACTTGTTGAACTTGGGACAAAACTTCAACCGACAAGGCTAAGTTCGGCCCCGACTGGACGACCACCTGTTTTTCACAGCTGGTTTTGGGTCGGGTGACTTTTCTAAAAAACAAGACACTAGTGTTTATCACCACAGTGGCCCTTTCATATACAAACTGGCCGTGTTGATTCAATTACGGGAAAGCAGCTGGACAATCCAGAAGTTAAAACAGTGCGAGTTCTGTACATGGAAAGCGGGATGTTGTGTATGGTGTCCTACCAGAGGGGGGAGCCAGACACACCGCCTGCCTTCAATTTGTAAAAGAGGAAGTGATGATTGGTCATTGTCAGGTGATGCAACACCATTTGTCTGTGTTAAGTCCTCAGCTCGCTCTGTGCCCTAAAAGCCCCTAGTCTGCATGCCTGGCACACATTCTGGTGGACTAGGCTGGTCTGTGTTGGTCACCCTCCCCAAACTGGGGACAGATTGTCAAAAGTGCTCGCTCCCAGTTTATGTTACACTGGGGGGAGCTGAGAGGTTAGCAGCAGTTTTGAGGTTTTCAATACTATAACCAGTTGACACTATTAAGTGCTGTGTTTAATTGAACTGTCTCAGAGCTGAAACTGCAAATCCAAGACAGTTTGAGTTCACTTGCTTTGGTTTGGCAAGCCTGTCTGAGTCATATTAATCACAGCAGCCTGTGAAAAATAGGTCATAACTTTAAAATCAACTGTGGAGAATCGTCCTATTACGTGCATGTTTGCCTAACTGTGAGTGCGTCATTCAGTTTCATGGTGTGTCTATCTCACCGCTAAGCTGGAGGCACACTGTCGATGAAGTACAGTCATATAAATACTTATCAATGAATCAGGACTTTTGTAAGAACACAGAGCACTAAGACTGTCACGTTCAGGAAACAGGAATGAATAAAGTATAAAATACAAAATAAGAGAGCAGAGAGGAGCCCATTGTCAGGCGTTGTGATAGAAATACAGAGCCATACATGTTCCTGAACAGAGTTCTTGGGCCCCGAGTTTAGTTTCCCATCAATACGAGAGGCTTGCGTTGTTTACTTATTTCTTGTGAGGTGTAGTGTTATCTGTTGTTTTGCTGATTGAGGGTTTGATTAAGTTTCTCTCTAGTTTTCTTCTCTAAACCTCTCTTTGAAATGCATTACCTAAATTTGATTGTGCGAGCCAATCCCTATCACCTTTGACCGCCCGTACCCTCACTATGGCGTTCACCCTCCCATCCCTACCCCCTGAGCTCTTCTGGAATGTGTGTGTGTGTATGTGTGTGTGTATATCAGTTGACCACAGCTGGCTTGAGCACCACGGTGCCTGGGGGGATGACCACCCAGGACAGGGGATCATGGGATCCCGTGGAGAGGTTCAGGACCCCCCCAGTCACCTCGTTTTCGGCCTCCTCCCCCCGGCCCTTCTTGGCCCGTTGGCTCTGGGCCCTGTGCTCAGACGAGGCCCCCAGCACGGGCATCATCGGCAGGCCCAAGGCTGAGGAGGGGAACGCCGGGGAGAGCATAGAAGACTTGGCCAGGCCCAGCGGAGAGCCATTGAAGGACAGGATGCTTGTGCCTCCCAGGCTGCCTGGAGGTGAGCTGGGGCAACCGAGTGTGCTGAGGTCCAGGGGCCGAGGACTGAGGGGGGACAGGGGTAGGGCACCACCCAGACCCTGCAGAGCATGGCCTCCCAGGAGAGCAGCCGCTGCCCCTGGGATGATAATATGGGCTGCACTCACATAGGACAGCTCTGAATCCTTACCCCCTTCGCCAGCAAGCACTCCACTTTGACTCCCCCTCAGCAGGGAGCCCACCCCACCTGGGGAGCCCTGCTCCTGAGCCACAAAGTGGCCATGGGCCTTGATGTGTTTGCGGAGAGAGCTGGGGTCTGTGTAGCGCTTCAGGCAGCCCACCATCTTGCAGTAGTAGGGCTTGTCCACATAGTGTGTGCGCGTATGCTTGAAGCGGTCGCTGGAGTTGGAGTAGCGCTTGTTGCAACCCTCGTAAGGACATATGTAGGGCTTTTCACCTGTTGTGAGACAAAATGATCCAGATGTTACAATTTTACTTCACAAAAATGAAGAAAAAACATTGATTTTAGTTTTGACATTCTGTGTGCGGCTCTACGACCGACCTGTGTGTGACCGGTTGTGAATCTTGAGGTTCTCCAGGCGTGAGAAGCTCTTGTTACAGGTGGGACAGCGATGGGGCTTCTCATTAGTGTGAGTGCGGATGTGGATGAGCATCTTGTACCTGCAGCCAAACAAAAATATGTTTTAAAGGTCTAGTGTAGGATTTAGTGACATCTTGTGGTGAAGGTGCATAACTGAAACTTCTCCCATGTGCCGAGCGTGTAGTAGAAATACAGTGGCCTATGTGAAAACGGGAATGGCCCTCTCAGTGTTTGGTTTGTCCATTCTGGGCTGTTGTAGAGAAACATGCTGGACTCATTGTTAGAACATTGTTATGAATATTATATGCAATTTCTGTCAATAGATGCCCCAAAATCCTACACACTGGACCTTTAATAAATTACCCGAGTGTATGAGTTTCTCACCGAGCATTGAAACCCCTCCCTTTGCGAGCACACCCCTCCCAGTGGCAGCAGTACCCAGAATCCTTCTCAGGCTTGACATGGAAGTCGTTGACATGGTCCACCAGGTCTTGCAGGGAGTCAAAGAGCAGATGGCACTGAAGAGAGAAAGACCATTCAGCATTTTTAATGGACAGTGAGTATAAAGCTATTTTGGGTTGATCCTAGTTTGGCTACAACAGAATCTTTCTGGCTCTTACCTTCTTCCAGCGACAGGCCAGTTGTTCATCCGCTGAGAGGTCCGGAGAGGCTCTTTTGTCGCTTGTCTGGCCAATGAACATGGAGGATGGCAGGTGAAGTCCCGCCCCAGCTCCGATTGGCACGAAAAACTGAAAGGCCTGTGAAATGTGAGAATTCTGGTAAACAAACAGGAAAAGAGACAAAAAAAGAGCAAAAGTGTTAGCAATCAATTATGGCACACATTTAGGTTAAGTTACTGTTTAAAGGAGCAGTGTGTAGGATTTAGTGGCATCTAGTGGTGAGAATTGCAGATTGCAACCAGCTGAAACTTCTCCCATGTGCCAAGCGTGAACATCCAGTTAGGATTACCCCCGTGTTCATTGTTTAGTGATTGTGTAGTGATTTTACTGGGAGCCGAATTATCCACAAAGGTCTCTTCTTCTCCAAAACAAAGAGACCAGGTGATTAAAACCAGAAAAAAACACTAACACTAAGCAGTTTCACGTTACAAATCAGTGTTTTTTTCCGATGCTGTTTGGCTTGTTGCAGATCGGCAGTTAGCCCAGTTGATAGCTGTTAATGTGTGCCCACCTTGTGTCACTGATAACCTAAGATTCAGACATTTAAAGGTTTTTACCTGGAGCTGAATTATCAAAAGAGGTCCCTTTCTCTCCAGAACTAACGGCCCTAGTGATTTAAACTGGTAAAATACTGAACAAAGTAGTATCGAGATAAAAATCACTGTTTTTTAAATGCTGTTTAGCTCGTTGCGGAGGGGCTGCTAACTACGGTGGCCAACGCATAAGCGCAAATGGCCCAATCTAGAGCCAGTGTTGTTTGTTTTGTCCATTCTGGGCTGCTGTAGAAACATGGTGGACGAGCACTCGCTCCCTGTGTAGATATAAACAGCTCATTCTAGGGTAACGAAAACACAAAAATTCTTGTTTTCAGGTGATTATACACTAAAGAAGACATACTTATATTAAATTCCATTTCTGCAACATGTATCCCCCTAAATACTACACACTGGACCTTTAATGTGATGTGCTTCAATAAAACTGGCCGTAGAAAAACAGTATGACAACACATGAAAAAAAATAGTGGTTCTTTTTCAAGGCCTCAAAAGTACAATAAAAAAAAACCCACGACCATTGACAGGCAGACAGTTGTGACTGTAACACAAACAGGTACTGATGTCCTCACTGAGAAAATACTTGACAGAGACAGACGTCTTTCTTTTTGTCAATGGAGTACAGAGCAGCTGCTCTTCATCTCCTCCTTCAAATATCCACTCCACTTTTTCTCTTGTAGCCACCCGCTGCGTGCTACAAAACCTCCCAACATCCCCGAGCTCGGCATGAGAGCTACAAGATTCACTGAACCTCAGCTGGGGCTCAAAGAGCTAATGCACCGACTCCCTCCCTCTCACACACATACACACACACACACACACACACACACACACACACACACACACAGAGTAACTTAGCTCGAGCAGAAAACTGAGAGACATCTTGATGAAAAGTGGAATTTGGAAGAAGGGACACATAAGTCCGAGCGTACGGTGGCGCAGAGAGAATAAGGGTGCAAATGGATCACAATCCTGTGGCCGTCTCATCGCATCTCATCTTCAACTATGTCAGAAATGTGTATGTGACAAATTTCATAAAATGAGACCAATTCCCTGCGCTGAGCTCTGCCTCTGCATGCACAACTATGTGAGCTGCTTTGTGAGCTGCTGTAGGGGAGAGAGCATGTGAGTTTGAGCGTGTGCAGCTGTTCTTCTATAGGAGGTGCTTATTTTGTGTGTGTGTGTGTGTGTGTGTGTGTGTGAGAGAGAGAGAGTAGGAGGGGACAGAAAGCATCCTATGTGCATCCACTGGGGATAAGTAAAGTGTATAATGTGTGTAATGGTGGGGTCGGGGGCCGTCTAGGATGTGGAGATGATGTGGGGCGGCTGAATGGTCCCAGCCAGCGTCAATTCAATTGCGAGGGAATTGAATTAGGCGGCGTGAGGTCTGCGTGGCTGTACCTTGTCTTAAATTCGATTATACATGTACACACACACACACATACACATACATGTCATGCCAGTGGGGCCACTGAGTGCAAGTTGCACAGACAGAGGCACTTGTTGGGGACACAAGAGGTGTTTGATAAGAGCTACCCCCCTCTCTCTCTCACTCACACACACACACACACACACACACACACACACACACACAAACAAGCCTCCCACCCCTTGCATAGCCTTATTCCCTTATGGAGAGTGTGACACAACCCGATGTTATTCCTAACTTGCTGACCCCAGCAGCCTGAGTCACTCTGAGCTGTAGACAGGACAGTGTTGGCCACTCACTACTGCACTGAGAGACAGTGTTTATTCTTTCAACAACTTAGAGGTGAACGACGAGAAGGAGACAATAGAGCTGGTGGAGGGCTAAATAAAACACCTGTACTCGTGTGTAGGTCTGCGTGTGTTTAAGTCGTACTCACTCCTGAGGGGACGTAGTTGCCGTTGGTCATTTCTGGAGAGCTGGGGGTGTGGCGGGAGGAGGGAGACATGCTCAAGTCCACAGCAGGGGGGGTGGGGGTGTCTGTTCGATCATGAGGCACCACCTGCACACCTGGGAAAACACACATAAACACACACACACACACACACCTTTGAAGATGACCTCTCACCTAGGGGATGAGGTATGAGGACTCTAGCAGCATGGCTTAGCTCAGCTGGTCCACCACTTTGGCCTGAAATATTTCCCACCTTTTTGCCTGACTGCTGTGAAATTTTGTACAGATATTCACAGTCCCCTGTGGAGCCACCCTGAGGTGGCATTGCCATGAAATCTGCGACACACATTCATGTCTTCGTCAGGATGATTTATAATCGCTTTGATGACCCCTTCACTGTTCACCATCAGGTCAAAACTTCAACTTGTCCAAATAACAGACACTAAGTATTTGAATTTTAATAGCCAACTGATTACTTAATATTGAAATTTGAACACCACTGAATTCATAGCAGTGAAATATTTTATTGGAATTTATTTAAAATACAAAAATTTTTGATTCGCAGTTTCAAGAGCTGAATTTAATGTATTTTTTTTTATTTTTTACAAATCCAGATCCAGAAGGTTTTAGAATTAAAAAAAAAAATAGATTCGGGTTGATTAAAGTTGATTCAAGGTCAGATCAAAAAATTCAAGTTGGAAAAAAAAATCAAGAAATTCTTTTAATCAATGTAGTTTAATTTCATAGAGGTAAATTTGGAACAAATACATTCTGATACATGGTTAAAATATTTCAAAGCTATAGGTTTAGTAGTGTTTAAATTAAAAAATGAAGAATTCAGAGGCTGTTAAAATTCAAATATTTATGTCTCTTATTTGCTTTCATAGTCCAATACTTTCATTTATGACCAAATACCAATGGACGTATAAAGAGAACTGGATACAGTGTTGGAGGTGAGGCCCTGTTCATTCCTACACAAGTTGTTCAGTGGCGCATGAAGCCAAAAAAAAAGCTTGTGTTAGAGACTTACAGTGGTGGAGCAACTGTTTTAGACTTTCCAAAGGTTATTGCACCAAATGGATCAAATCTCTGTAGTGTAACAAGTCATTTTGCAGGGGTTATGACACTCAAAAAAATGTATCCACTGATTTTAAGATGTCTCTTTCAAATTGTAAGTCTATGGGAAAAAGTCTTTTGGGGCCCGCTGGCACCTTGAGGCAGACTTGGATGTTTAAATTCCACTTTTGGCCGCTATGTAAAATTGAATTCAAAGCCCAGCACTGATCCCGAGGGCTTGCACATAACTGCAAAGCTAATGTCATTCCCATCAGCCTCGGCTGTACTTTGTGCATGCTAACATGCTACACTAATATGGTTCAGAATGTGCTCCTAAATATCAGAACGTTAGCATAGTGACTGTGAGCATGTCAGTGTTAGCATTTAGCTCAAACCACCACTGAGCCTAAACACAGCCTACAGAGCTGCTGTCATGGTTGCAGACTCTTGTTTTGTTACCTACCTGTGTTCGGAGATGCTGGCGAGGCGGGCTCTATGACTGCGGTGCCATCATCCGCCATGCGGAGCTGGCGAGCTCGCTTGGGGTGCAGTGGGGAAAGGGGGGGAGAACGCGTGCCTCTGTCCCGCCCATTGGCCCGCCGAGGGAGCTTCAGATCCAGGGGCTCGTCCAGGGACAGCATGACCGCAACCCGACGACCTCCCACCTGCACAAACAGTCACAGAGGGGCAGAGTAAGGCCGAGTGGGGCCAAGGAAGGATAGTTTGGTTTTCATATAACAACATATACAATGAAACGCTGCGTTCCTATGTGAGACATGACAGACGGCTGGAGACAGATTGTCACACCTGCAGTATTTCCCACGTGAACGTTGTTGAAAGTATCTCACATTCCACAATCCCACTGGGTAAGAAATACTCTCCAACAATGGTAAACCGACCATGATCGTAAACTGAAACACTGAGTAAGCCAAAGAAAAATAAACACACACACACACACTCACACACACATGGAGAGCTAAGTGACCCCCTCCTCTTCTTCCATGCTGACCTTTACTCACACACTCTTCCTGAGGAATTTCTACAATCCAATCCAGATGGTCACCCTCACCACCAGCCCTGCTTAACCCCACCCCTCGGTCAGTCCCTGGCCCTTGCACCATGTCACATCACCCCCCAACCCAGCCCCCACAGTGTGCACCCTCAGACCCCATGGACCTTTGAGACCTAACAGAAGCCCCCCGGGCCTTCAAGTCCAGCTGCACCTACTCCGTCCACCTCCTCCCGCCTCTAAACACACTGACCTCTGGACCTGGCCTGAGGGTTGTGGGCAGGGCGCTTCATCTAGCTGTCATTTTGAGGTCTAGCTGTAGTCTTCCTCTGCCACCAGGGTGACCCAGTGTCAACCAAGACAACCATTCAAAACCAAATACCTAGATGAACCAAATACCTAGATGAACCAAATACCTAGATGAACCAAATACCTAGATGAACCAAATACCTAGATGAACCTTGTTGGTCAAATGAATTTAAAGGTTCTGTTTGTAACTTTCAGAAAATCCTTGTCATTAGTGACCCCTCTCTCTGAGGCTGTTCGGTTAACTGCAGTCAGTGTCCTGTTGCTTGTGCTCTGGTGCTCCCACTCTATAGCTGTGAGGGAGCACCTTAGCCTGTGCTTTATGTAAACTGTCTGAACTCAGCATACTTTTTTCTGATATGTTGCAGATTAACAAAGAATCCAGGCTTCAATTAAGTTATTTTTCTGCTTCTTAACAGTGAGGTCAGTAAGTCAGAGTTTACAATAAACCTGGGTACAAATCATAGTTGTCTCAGGTTAGTTATTTGTGGTGTTCTGCTGCTCCTGAAGGTTTTGAGACCATAAATAGAGACATGCTGAACTTCTCAAATAATGATCAGTAGGTGTGTGCTTGTAAATCACCCCTTAAATCTGTCAAAAACTGCTGGAGAAATGCAAGTTTTTAAGTGAGCAGAAATGATTTGTAGTTGTAGAAAAAAACTTGTCTAAATGAAATTCTTATACAACCTGTCATTGTGTAGGTAGGTGATTAAAAAAAAATCATGTTGAAAACACAATGACTAGAAGTTGACTAAAATGCTTGACCAAGCGTTTTGAGTTTTTGGCGACTAAAACTATACCAAACCTATGAAGGATAAAAATGTGCCAAAAACCAATAAGCATTTTCCTCTCACGGCAAAGAGACTAAATTTAAAATGGCTGTCAAAATTAACACTGGGGATTAAGGTTAAGGTTTGTTACATCCTTTGAAAATTCGGCCGTAGTCCTTTACATAGAAGTCAGTCAACAGTAGGGCTGTCCACCAATAGCCGACCAAACGTTAGCCGACCAGAACGGTCATTAGTCGGCAAGATTTCATTGGTTGTTTAGTCGTGGAAAAAACAAAAACAAACTCAAACTCTATTAGGAGCTGCGCCTTGTCAAAATAAATCAAAACCTATATGACTGGACCATGTGGGAATTTAATTTGAAAGGACAAACACAGGAAGAGGCCATGCCCAGCAGTCAGACAGGAGTCACGTTACAAACCAATCATAGACGACAGATATCTTTCTCTTCTTCTGTAAATATTCAGTCTGATAAATATGGAAAAGTTGATCATGTTAGTGCAGGGCTACCCAGAGCTTTACATCTGTCCCACAGACGATAGGCCTACACACTTATAAACAGCGCCTGGAAGAAGATCAGCTCTGCACTCAGGATTTGAGCTAAATAGGCTATACGATGGTGGTTAAAGACGTGGCATGTGTACAGTCCCTAATTTCCAGGGCTGGCACCTGCGGTTATTCCACAGGCTAGTTAATAACATGTCGGGCAGGAAATCCAAAGTGTGGGATCATTTTGAGAAGGTCAAGGACGAACCCAAGGTGAAATGTAAACTCATCTTCATTGGACGACTACAAATATGACGTATCATCTGAAACATGGAAGTAGCTACGTGCCCATTAGCCACTTAGCACAATCATTACTGCTTTGCTGACAGCATCATTAACAGGCGGCTCGCTCAGTGTGTGACGTGCACTTGTAGATTAAAATATAGGCCTATATTAATGAAGGTTCATTAGTACGGTTTTGTATTTCTCTGTAATGTAGCACAGTGTTAACAATGTTACTGAGACTATTCTTTCTCACACCTTCAACTCAAACCATTGTGTTGCCCTGCCCAAAATATATCATTTAATTATTAAATTATTATCATAAACATGCAGGCAAATAGTCGACTAATGAGCCCTAAATGATGACTATTGGTCAACTGGGAATATTCATCATCGGGGGCAGCCGTAGTCCACAGGCTGTTACAGGCGGCAAAGAAAAGTCAGGGAGGTCTCCGTTTTTAAGTTACGTTACCGTGCATGTTAAAAGTTACATACAGTACCTTTAAATCATATTTGAGGCATCCAAAACAATCCTAAAAGGTTAATAAGACATTCACACATGTCAGATCCTTTCAACTTTAACATAAACAAATACTGAGTCTGTTCCTCTTGATCCAGCATGTACTGCTTCACACATATAGGCAGTGCTAGTACAGTACTGCTTGGTTTAAGGCCAAGCGCTCCATTCAACACAATGTGTTAGGGTTCACTGCTCCTTCTCACCAGGCTCACACACGCACACATCTCCTCAAAGCATTTTCCGTCTACACACACACACACACACACACACACACACACACACACACACAACACACACAAAGTTGCAGGGTGTCCTATATTTCTGCCCGAGTCCATGTAGAACAGCTCCCAGTGTGCATGTTGAGAGTAGATACACACACACACAGTCATACTTACAGTACAGAAACACACACACACACACACACGCACGCACAAGTAATTAATCAAACTGTAATTTCAACAAATTCACCCCCTTCTTCCTCCCGCTCCCTCACACACACATGCCGACACACACTCAGAGAAGCCACGGTTGGTAGTGAATGGTGGGCTTTGAGAGCGACTGGCCAGGGGCCACATGAGAAGCCCTTGTGTCTGGGAGGCACGGAGCAGAGAGGTCACCAGGTTCACCAGCCCAACGAGGGATGGCCACCAGCTCACACACACACACTCACACACTCGTACACACAGCCAGAAATGGCTGGGGGGGGGGGGTAAAGACTTAATCAGCCATAGATAAGAGGACGATGATACACACACGTACTGATGCAAACAGAGGAACATACTGTATGAACATGCACACAGAGCAGCATTATGGCGTTATCAGTCAGATCTCTCTGTGTTGATGTATATACACTCATGTTCCTCACATGCACATAGAGAAACATGTTAGGGGAAGAAATCCCTTTGGTTTTTATCTGATTATAGACCACACATGCGAGCACATGACCCACCGGCCCATCTTGATCTTGACTTAAGGTTTCACAATTACATTAGAGTTGCTCTACTGTAAGAAGGGAGAGGAGGATTCGAGCAACCAATAAATCTGTTGTACACATGGGAGAAAATGTGAAGCCATCCTTTAAATAATTTGGACATTTAACACTCTGGGGTGTATGTGTCCTTTCTTTGCTCTCCAGTAATGGGCCTCAGTGACTTATATCTTACTGAGGTTTTCTTACATTTGTTCTCAAGGGCGTAGGTTTCGTTCATGACGTGTTCTGAAACTGTTTGCACCTGTGTTCTTGTAATGATACAATGCATGTGCCAGTTGATCCTAATTAGCACAGGTAAATGCCCCACCAATACCCCTAAAAAGGCCATGAGACTGCAGGCCACAGAAACAAACAAAGGTCTAAAAAGGCTGCAGCACTGCACTCCAAACATAAAAAAAACTTTAACGTCAGTAGTGCATACATGGGATGCTGTTACTGGTTTAGTGAATGCTGTATCCGATAAAGGGCGCACAACTACATTAGTTAAGAAACGGGGGGTTTAACCTCAAATCTGAGGCCAAAAAAAGAAATTTGCCAAACACAGAAGAGAGACACTGACCACTGGAAGGGGGCAGTTTAATCCAGTGGTTCCCAACTGGTCCAGCCAAGGGACAAGATTTCTCCTTAGTCATTAGTTCAAGGTCCACACAGTTTAATATATTAAGCGTCATACTTAAGTCTGGCTGTGTTGTCAAGCTAGTTTGCTGTCTCTGTCAAGTAGCTGTCTCTTATGTTCACACCAGGCCCCATAGATCAATTCATGCAAGTAAAGTACATGTAAAGTCAATGCAAAGACGCGATGAGATGCAAATTAAGCAACCAATTCACGCTATGATAGCAAGTTCCCACTTAGCATAATTAATGTGAATTGAAGTGCAAGTGTCGTTATTATTTATTATACAAGACCATAATGCTTTGTAAAACAATAAAAGTAATTGTTAAAAATTAGGTCCTACACATATTGTAATTACATCCTATAATATTACACAATTGCAGAATTCAAGATAACACAATAACCAATTATTTTTGCACAAACAAGTCAGCACTTGAATATGTGTCTAAAGGCCTTTGCACACCAAGTCCGTATTTTTCGCATGCTTTTTTTAAAAGTCTGTCATCCAATAAAAATCATTATGTACAGAAACCTTGCAATACAAGACAAAATGGAGAGACACATTTGCCCCCTTGCTTCTCTCCTGAGCACTGTTGTGCATTTCTGTATCGGCTAACGTTACCTTCTCCTTGGTCACGTAAAATTTTTAGGGCATTGCTTCCATATATTT